GTCACATGGATCAAGCCAGCGCCCAGCAGTTTTTCAAGTTAAAAGCACAGTGCGCGATAGGAAAAGTAGGTAGTGGTGTTGAAATATGAATGAGTAATGGCCAGCTCGTATGTGGAGAAATATGCAAAAAGGAACGTAGACATGGGTCTGTACTGCTGCAATTTTTTTTGTATGACGGACCTTGTAATAAAGGATTAAGGATTATCTTCCGGTTGCGCAGTGAACTCCCCAAGCTAGAGAATGTCACGGGGATAAGGAATTCTTTCTTAACACGACGCAATATCCTCCACTCCAATACGATTCCTATCAAGTGGAGAGCAGAGAGTATGCTTGGAATAAGAAAAGTCAACAGCAGAAAGAAAATTGCAAGAATGAGTCGAATTCCAGCCCCTTGCGACCAAATACGACCTCTGGATTACTGTCGCCCATCTCATTGTCCCATACGCCTAAATGGCCTCGAGGGTACCCTGTATGTAGATCCATCATATCCGTGAACTCAGGAAACAAAGTTCAGGTTACATTAACCTAGGAAAGTATTCTCCTACCCACGCAAAGGCATCACTTGAAAAAATCGGAAACGAGCAATTTTAAAAACGAATACGATTCAAAAAAAGCGTCATTACGGTGAGTTTAAGGTTTTTACGCCATTGCGCCCTCATCATGGAGTTAAATGAGATCCCACTGAATTCCTTATAATGGTGATCTGATGACGCAGTATCCAGTTGTTTTTTTAATATAATAATATTCAATACTATTACTGAAGAACTACAAGTAGGCGTAACATTGCTGCTAGGGCACTCTTTTCCATTCTCACACACACATAATGGCTCGTTCATTCGCTCCACCTATTCGTGCACTCCATCGCAAGTTGTCCAGCCTCATTTGCAAATGACAGCAGTATAAGTTTTCAACTAAATTGTAGCCTTTCTCGATATTGCGGACATCTTCCGTTAATTCTCTTACCATTTCCATATTGATTTGAAAGTTTACTAGTTTCGAAGCAATATGAATTTTTTTACTCCCTGTTGACGTCACTGGTTAGAGACTCGAATCAAATCCAGGAATGATCTCGAGATTTCCGCTGATTCCTTCTACCCCGGAACTAATATGGGGAGCGTTCAGAGAGAAAATCCTCCAACTGAAGTTTGCCGACCCTCACCCCTCACCCCCTCAGTTAGTCGTTCCTCCATTCCTTGGTCCAAAACTCTTGTACCAGAGCCAACAAGGAATTTTCTCCTTGTTCTTTCGATAATGATTAATTTCCCATACATATCATCAAGAATAACGACTATTGTGACTCATTATGTATGCTCAAAAGTTTACTAAGAGATTATTCACAGAAGTTCTGGAAATTGAGTCTAGGAAGGAGGAATGTTGCTATTCAGCTCTTTGTAATCACCATTCTGAGCAGTTTCAGTGCCGGGCAGGAGGGCCAAGTCACGAGAATACGTCTGTTATAGTCGCAATCAGACAGGGCAGTTTCAGAGCATTAAAGTAAACCAACCTGCAGCGTTTCCGCTACTGGTTATTTTTTCCTAAATCGATCACGCCCGATCGCTATTGGTAAAGCAAGGCAGCCGGAAGCAGCTCCTGCCCCTCACTGACACCGCACCGAATAGGATGAAACGTTATGACCATCGAGAAAGCGGGGTAGAACTCGCTAACCAACTTTCCATTTTCTTTCAAGTAAACCTTTGCGCGAAAGACCCGCCATGTCTTCAAGATGGAGCCCCTACGCCGTTTTACCCGCTCTCATTCAAACTGCGCTTGTCATTTTTTTTACAGTCGAGAAGAGGAGTGAAGGGTACATAGCAATCTGATCTATTGAAAATTTGAATTATTTTCAATTATTTGATGCTGTTTCTATGATGAAGTCCCTTGGTCTGTCAGAGGTATGGCCAATCGTTTCAAATATTTATTAATAGTTTCACATAATGAGTTCCAAGGGACTAATGCAGTAGCCAGCTCTTCCGTTCCGACCAGCGCCCTACCTAAATCACAAGGAACTGAAACAGTTGACAAAGCCCTTCCTCATGCTAACCATGAAAGATAGTAGAAAACGCCATGTACCGTGACATGACTCAGTTGGCCTTGAGGGGGAGTGTAATGTACTCAAACCAGCCGTATAAGCCCCTTGTAAAGGACCTGCAATTATTCGCAGCTTCAAAGAACTTCAAAGTCGCCCTAAAGTTGAGACTTCCTACGTTCAGCATGAACACCAACGGAAACTTATCGATTGTTTAATGCCCCCCGTCCCCGCCAAGAACGCCCGACATTTTTGCTAATCTATGAAATGTTTCCATATAGATAGGGTTAACGCATGCGTACACAGGGTACAGCATCGTTGTGTCAAACGTATGGGGGTGTCTATTTCTCTAGAGCGGATTGTCCATCTTGTAAGACTAAATCGCGTGCCTGGACCTCATTCGAAGGGGGGGGGGGGGGGTCGTACTCACACCGACATTTCGCACATCCCCATGCTGTACCCTGTGCGTACATGTATGCTCCATATCTCAGAAACGGGGAGGGCGTGCTGTCTCCATTTGGCGATAGCGGCGGCTGCCTGCGCTACCGGTGAGATATCAGCGTTTTGGGACGATAGCAAGCATAGCTTCCGCTGGATAGGATGACAATTTCTCAACCGTGTGAGTGACCACGCCCTCCCATCTCCGCGTATGGATATATGTACAGTTGATTGCAGTCGTTGCAATCAGTCTGGACGGTGTCAGTAGGAGCTAAATGACCCGCCTCCAGCTGCCTTTCTTCACCAATAGTGATCGGTTGGTGATCGGTTTAGCAGAAAAACAACACATGGTGAGTTCGCTGCGGTTAAGCTCGTTCTATACCCCTTCGAGCCGCCCCGACTGTTTGCGGCGATATCAAATGTATGCGTGTTCGTGCACACATATGCGCTGAAACGCTCTTTAATAAAATTACTTGCCCCGGGTTGACTGCTTTCATTCCAGCTATTCAACGCTTATAAAATTTTGGGTCGAAAATTGAATTCTAGTACACGACTTTGAGACACCCTTCTGGATCCCGAAAGTACCAAACTTCTCAGAATTATTGAGAAGTTCATATGTGTCGGGCAAATATTTTCAGTACACTTTTATTAGATTCTGACGTCCTTTGATCGGAAGTTGCTGTGCTACCAGACATCTGCATATATCCACCTATTTTTCTTAATACCTGAATAACATAATTTATTTGATCTTTCAATGAAATTGTCAATGGGCATAATGAATAGACATTGAACTTATCCATATCACCTCAGGAAGTTACCAGAACCTTTCTGGAACTTCACAAAGACTCATTAGAATCCGAACATGCGATTATTTCTCTAATCATGCATGCGCTTTCGTTAAAAGCTTTCTCCTCGAAAAACAATGGCAGTACTCGTAATGGTTTTTGATGCCTTGCCCACTACGATCTTTTCGTCTACATCTGTCCCTTGTACAGTGTTTTCGCAGCCGATTCCTCTCGTTCACCCTCATACTGTTTGTTTTCTATCACCGTGTCAAAGAATTGCACGAGTTCATCAGCGCTTTGATCAATAACAACAATTAACAAGAAGTGTACATTGATTGGCGATATCAGAATCGTGCAGATCGGCGCGAAAACCGTGGACACGCCCGTTTTCGCGCCAATGTGCACGATTTCGATAGCACCAATCAATGAACATTCTCGGCTACTGCCGCTGTGATCCTAGGGAAATAGACAAGACACTCGTTATTTCGCGCGCGGCGGCGCAGCACTCTCTTGAAGTCATATGGTATGGTCCTGAGGACGTGTAGGACTAGTACGCCTAGCAAGACAGAATTCGGCGTCCATTAGCAGGCGCAACGTGGCGCCTTTTCCAAGAAACGTACCCTTATAGCTGCATACCGACCTGGACGCCCACCCGACCGCTCGTCCCCAAATGTCCGACCGGGCTGATGCTCGTATCGCATTATACATACGAAGCGACCGGATTGGTCTAAATCGGCTGCGGTTCTGCATGGATATATGAGTAAATATCTACCGTAGCGGTAATTGGCACGGCGCCAACGGGCCAAAATTGCTTTCTGAGTCATGTTGAGCAAAGGCTTTTTATGCAGGTTTTTGACTGTTTAACTTCGTTTTTCCGCCAATTTCCCCACTATATAGCACCCGTGCTACCAATATAGACCAAATCATCATGCCTTATGCCTTTAACTTGCATGAGTTTGCCGATTGATGGATTAGATTTCATGTATATAGTAGAACATCGGCATAAGGTACGATAATTTGCTACTTGCTCAGAAGTAGTCACAGGGGTGCTAAATAGTGGGGAAATGAAAAAGCCTTTCTTTGCTTGAAGATCGGACAAGCATTTTTGGACGCATTCCCCGTTGGCGTCGCGCCAACAACCGTTTCGATTGATATGGCCGCACGTATGTATTCATATATCCATGTAGCAACGCTTCATATCATTGTATTTCATAATGAAGCGATAAGAGTACCAGCGTCGATGTGACTGTGCGGCCATTGTGGGCGGGCAGGTTGCGGTGGGCGTTTAGGGTCGGCATGTTGCACCTTGGCTGGACGCTATAACGGTGGCTGGGAAAGCACCTGTTAAGAGGCACAATGTTCTTGAGTGCCAGGCGTATCGACCCTGTACGCCTTGTCGGCTTATCGCGCCACTTGCCTTCTAGACTTCTTTGGCTATGCACTGCCTGCGGCATTGTCTACTCTCGCCGCTTACGACTTAGGAACATCGCCATTTACGGGCGCGACGTCGCACGCCACGTGCACTTGCGCGGCGGGTTACGATTGTCTTGTCCCACGCTCGTTCACGGCGCTGTCAACTTGCACACGGCCCATGGACAAACGAATTCACGTTCTTGGTTCCGAGAAAACTCAAACTCAACCACGTTCGAAGAACTGCAGCATCCTTAGGGTTTTCCGCTGATTGCGCATGAAGATGGCTTCTATCCGGTTATATTCAAATCAAAATTAATATATTCAGAGTCAATGCGGTGATGTCAAACTTCAGCTGTCTTAGCGATCACGTGACCGTCGCATGCCTCAACCTCGGAGAAGCCATCATAACCATCGCTAGTATGCTCACAGTAATGCTGGTACGATATTTGTAAATTAATTGGTTCTTGTACGTGTCATGCACTTTGTTCATATCCTTCTTCACCAATTACCAGTTGATTTCAGATAATTATCCTTGGTAACTTACTTGTTGTGATCACCGTATATCGCGATCGTAAGCTGCGCCTTCAACGTCAGAACTGGTTGATAATTTCGTTAGCGTTGGCTGATCTGTTAGTAGGATTGTTGGTGATGCCACTGACGCTCATCTATGAAATTATAGGCGAATGGAAAATGGGTGAGAATTAACTACTGTCATGAAATTCTTATCCTAATGCTCCTCAACGTAGAGCCTCCTGAATCATCTGAACCCTTGAAAATTAAACATTTTTACTGAGAAAAAATTTTAAAGAAGCTACCGGTTCCTACTTCGTTTCCCTTCAGCATGGAGGAGACAAACTCTCCGCTGAAGCTAGGATAGGCTAGGACGCTTCAGGAGCTCTAATTTTGGCGTGGCGTCAACGTATTTGCCACCACTTACGTTCCCCTGCCAGCTTAGGCTGCGTTTATACTTTGCGGCAGCGTGCACCAATTTGTGAGAATCGTGAAAGTAGCGCCCGTACCCAGAGCGTTCCAAAGGCTATTCGGGGCACTGGCAATTTGTGTGCGGAGGGTTGCCAACACGTCGTTCCTGCCATGCCAAAAACATTTGTTGAAAAGCGAAAACCAGTGCATTACTGTATAATATCCTTCGTATTACTCGTTTTCTACCACTTTTTGTCGCATACGCGTTGCAACAAAAAGGCTGAGAACGGCTTCAACAGTGTGCGCACTCCTTCTGGCTGACACGCCCCACCGGTCCGCAATGATGAGGACTGTAATTCCAATTAGCAGAATCGCAGTCTGCGAAAGCCAGATCGTGATCCGTCTGTAAGTTAGTAAGGACGAAAACTTGACTAGAAAAAAAGTACGTGGTGGCCGTCTACGCAGAAGTACTTGTTGGCGGCACGCCATCAAAAGCAAGAAGAAGAAGCAAGTTTCACAGATCTATGGAGATCTTACCGCCGCCACTTTACAGCCGGTGGTTGAGCAGGTTTGTGACGGGAAGTTTCTTTGTAACAGGAGTCGTACCACTGTAATCAGTTTCAGGGAGCCATATTTAGAAATTTGTCAACAGCAAGGTGCAACTGTGCACTGGTTTGGGAAGAGAGATATTTCAGCTATATTATGACTCGGATGAGAGTGGCGAAAGGTAAAGAATGAAAACAAAATCCTTAGAAGCACGCCAGTCCGGGTTTGAATGCAACCCATGTTCAGAATTTCGCCCATAGTTCAGTACCTTTGCAAAGTACTCGGTAAATATGAAACGACTGAGGTTGTTAATACGGCCATCACAGGCATCGTTCAGCGTCCTCAAGTGGCACGTGTAGGCAGCAGATTAATTACCGCTTACGTTAGCCAGCGCAGAATGTACACGGAGTGATGACTACTGCAGGAGGGGGAGGGGGGCTGAACATGGTCAGGTGAATAGACATATCAGAAAACAACTCGCTTCACAATCAACTCGAGGGCCACTGGAGTTTTTCCAGAGGGACTGGGTTTGGCGCTGCCCAAGCCTGTTCCTCTTGAAAATCTATACGGCTGCGTTTTATACTTTGCGGCAGCGTGCGTAGCGCTTCCAGCGTACGCCAGCGGCAGTGCCGGGGAGAGGATGGATATCGATCTAGCGTTCCCAGCGTCACCAGCCGCTAGCGTACGCCAGCGTTTCTCCAGCGTTTTCACGGCAGCGTTTTGCTAGCGTTGTGCTAGCGGCAGGGCGAGTGAACAGACTATAACGGAGCAGAGCTGGAGGGTACAAAACACATCGATTGCGCGTCTCTCACTCGCCCTTAGTCTCTACAATACACATCGCTTCTGCGTCTCCGACGGCCACATAGTCTCTACAATACACGTCGATTCCGCGTCTCTCACGGCCACATAGTCTCTACTCCCTGCCGCTGCAAGCGCTAGCAAAACGCTGGTGCCGCTGGAGAAACGCTCGAGAAACGCTGGTGAAGCTAGATCGATAGCTATGCTTCCCGTGCCCTCGCTACGCCAGCGTGCCGCTGGTGACGCTGGTGAAGCTAGATCGATATGCATCCTCTCTTCGGCACTGCCGCTGGCGTACGCTGGAAGCGCTACGCTACCTGCTGTAAAGTATAAACGCAGCCTTACACCAATGTCTAGAACGGGGATGTTTGCAGGTATTGTCAG